CTCAAGTGTGCAGAAATGGAGCTGGTGTCACTTTGTGTCTAGTTGGCCTCAAGGTGATCTGGAAGGATGAGCTGGAAGCTCTAATGCAATGTGATGAATAATAAGAAACTAATTGGAAGTAAGAAAATTACTGCAGTTCTTGTTTTGAGAATTAGCCCTAACATGGAGAGTACTTGGACTGAAGGTGCCCAAAGGGTGTTGGTCAGAGCAGAGGATCAGCGTGGAGCTCTCTGCAAGGGCAGGAGAAGGAGGTCTTGGCATCAGGAGGTTGAAGAAATATCAGTCCATGAGTGAGAAGTCCATGCCTAAGTTTGGACAGTACTCCTTGCTTTAGCAAGAAGGTTGCTGCCCGTTCCAAAGGTACCTTCCCTCTGCTCTTGGAGTCTTTCTCTGAGGGGTGACGCTCTTTAATCCCTGGAGAAGGATCTCTGCATAGGCGAGGCACCCGCTGGCTGTTTTTGAGAAGTGAAACACATACATGTTTTGCAGTCAGACTCGCTGTTTTCAGGCTTACACAACAAAACAGGTTGTAGATGTGCTTCCAGTCTTCCAGTGTGCTGGGGTAAGGGTTTGAAAACTGCACAGTTCCTAAAGACGTGTCCTGTCCCGAATAAGCAGCAGCATTTGATGAGGCCATCATTCACTGTCATGGCTGATGCCTGTGGATAGTGGCAGCCCTGGGAGGTGACGAAGACGTGAACTCATCCCACAGCCTCTTTCGTGACTGCCCCGACACCCAACACGGGGCAGGGAAGCCCTCTGCTCCCTCCTTTCTCACCTCCCAGCGCCTGTGGTGTGCTTCCGTGGAGGTCTTCCCTCAACACCTGCCCTGCGGTGGCGGTTCAGGCAAGAGGCATGTTTTGAAAACAGCTGTCCTTGCATCAGTGGTGCAGTTGCTACCAAGTACCCAGATGTAGGCTGACCACAGTGCAGTTTTATTTTGCCCCTCATCAGCCAGCTTGTGGGAAGGGAGCCTGGAGCCTGCCGACGGGCGGCGCTGCCAAAGCGAGCCCAGGGAGGGCGGCTGAGGATTGCTCGGCCTCCTGCAGGAGGGCAGCCCAGCAGCGTGTCAACGGCTGCTGCCCCACGTGTGCTGCCGGGCCCGAGTGGCAAGTCCAGGGGCCAGGGGCAGGGGCCGGGCTGGGCCCAGGCAGCCCCCAGCTGCCACCCGCGCGATGTCAGCGGGTTCCAGGGCCGCCACCACGTTCCCCAGCTGCGCTCCTGCAGCCTCTCCGCTGCCCCAGGGACGGGCCCCCGGCCTCTCCCCCTCCGTGCCTGCCGTTAGTGGTGTCCTTCTCCTGAACGAGGAGCTGTTGGCAAGCCGCCCTGGAGAAGCTCTCGCCGGTGGCCGTAGCTGGGCAAAGCCTCGGCTTCCCTGGGCCTGCACAGAGCTCTCCCCAAGCCGCTACACCTCTGCCTCTGCAGGATGGAGGAAAAAAATATTTGGTAAGAGAACAGGCTTTCAGCATTAGCAGTTTACTGTTGCTGAGGTGTTGTGATAAATAAAGGTGAGAAAACTGTACAAGCAAACTGCTGGTTGCTACCGAGGCCCCAGCTTAGGTGCAGCCCCCGCTCGCCAGCCACGCCGGGAGCAGTGAGGAGGTGAGATCTCACCTCCTGCCCCCCGGAGAGGCGGTCGCCACCGGGGAGGGTGGTCTGAGGGACAGGTCTCCTTGCCCCTCGGCAGCTGTGCGGCGGCCATGAGTGCTTGCGGTCCCTGCGGGCCCAGGAGCGGGGTAGCTCGGCCCAGCGTCCCTGAGCAGGGCTGGGAGCTGTTGGGCCCGTGGCTGCCCATATCCGATGGTGAATGTGCCTTTCCTCTCCTGGGCCAGACCCTCCTGCCTTTTTCCCAAAACCCAGTTATTCCTGATGTGCTCTGTGTTTCTGATACATGAGAAACTCTTGCTTTAGAGTAGCCTTATTCTTGGCAAAAAAAGACTAGCTGCCCAGGGATGAGAAATGTACTAAACCTTGTAATTTAGTTACCTTGGTAACATCTGTAAGGAACTACTAGCACTAAACCACTATTTTTTTTCTTGATCTCTTTTATGGCGATACATGTTTATATTTACTTGGCAAAAGTGTGATTTACAGGCATTGTAGCCATTCTCCTGTACGTTATCCTGACAAACAATGGTTCCCATTTCTAACAAGCAAGGTTAAATGACTGTGAAAGCAGGTATTTGACTTTAGAGTAGAAACAGAGATTTACCGTCAAGAAACTAAGCTTTTGCTAAGAAAAGCCAAAATCATGTAAATACTGTATAATTGTTTCAAAGTATTATAATGCTTGATCACATTTACTCAGCATAGGAATTTTTTCAATGGTTATGTTTTAGAACAAATATAAAAAAGCTGGGTTTTTCTTTTTTTCTTTTGCATTGTAACATTCTCACACATGTGTAAGTTTTAGTTGTCAACCATTCATCATACAAGGAGAAAAAACCACCAAAGAAATAAAAGCATTATTGCTTATGATTACAAGCCAAAACTAACAGCCTTGCTTTGGACTTTGTTGTTCCTAGATCCAGCTCTATGCACAGCTCTCGTCCCACTCCATCATTCCCATTTAGCCATCTGTGTCCTGGTAGTGGCTCCTCTGCACTGTATGACCCGGGGCACTCAGGTCCCGGCATGCAGAAGTTCCCTAAGGATCAGACCTGTGAGCTGCAGAGTAGGCAGTGCCCCCAGCTTTTAGGTGGCTCTTTGCATCCTCTGGCTACTCACTTGTTTCTCTCTCTGCTGCCAACAGGAGGGAATTTTCTGAGCCCTTCAAAGGGAGGAGCATCCCTCACTTGGTGACCAATTCAGTAATTGATTTAATTAATTTGAAACTAACTGTCACTTGTTAAACTGATAATCAAGAAGCCAGTTATCTGTTAACAGTCCTAAATATGAATCAGCAGTAACCAAAGTGTTTCTGTCTTAAATAAAGAAATCTGGATTTCTTTCTGATATCTCAGAGCTTTTAAGATGAGTTGTAAATATGGCTATTTTCTTTAAAAAAAATAAAGACTTTATATTAGAATGCCATTTTCTAGTTCAGAATAATAAAATTGCATATTTATTTCTGAAACTGCATTTAGAATTTTAACCTTTTTAACATGTTATCCCCTGTAAGACGTAAGTCTCAGGGCATGATAGAAAGTTTATTAAGGATAAATCCTGCTCACCTTACTCATTTATGTAGCCGAAATCCTCAAGCAGCCTTTCCATTGCTCTGTTGCAAGTTGGTTGGTGTACACATTTAAAAGTCTTATTGTAGGAACGTTATGTCTTTTATTGTATATACATTTGTATTTATAAGAGGTAATGTAAAAGTGGTACATACCAAAACATACCTTTATTTTTTATTGCAGCCATTAATTATAAAGCATTTTATAAAACCAAAAAATGTTCCTTAAATAAAAGCATTTAAATTATCCTTTTTATTATGTATTTTCATGAAACTTTTTTTGTTACAGGTTTACAAATCAAAGCAATTTAAAGAAAATATGTTCAGAATGTGTGCCCAGTCCTGTATACTTTCTGACATAAAAGTGTTGGATGAGTACAGCAAGCAAACCACTGATGTATGATGGCTTGTCTATGGCTCTCCAAGTACTTAACCGAACTAAATCATTACCTATTTATACAATATTTCCTTCACTTTTTATATTCTGATCTGAGGGCAGTAAATAGTTGTTTTTTACTGTATTAATGATGGGGAGTCAACAATTTGATTAATCATGTAGTTTCAAACATGAGTATTTCTGAGCACATCCTTTAAAGAATGTGTCCTGATGTTTTTATTGAATTCCACGTGACCATAAATGTGTTTGTTTCTTTTCCATGGAAGTTGTTTAGAAGGGCCTGAAAGCAGATGGTGTATTAAGGTACTGATATGTTAAGGTCTATCTCATCCTGTATCTCCAGTTTCAATCTGTACACATTCCTGGCTGCTAACCCCCAAGTTTTGTTTCCAGCTTCACTGTCTGCAGTAAGCATAGGCTTGTAGAGCCCTGGGCAGGTATTTGCACCATTAGCAAAACTGTGTAAGTAAGTCAGTCACCAAAAAAGAGGTGCTTTAGAGCAAAAGAAGTAAGCAAATTGAGGGTCAAATTCTGCTGCCATTTAATCCATTGAAGGATGAATTGTTTTACTAGATAGCCTGTTGGCCAAAAGATTGTTTAGAAGTAAAGAAGGGCTGAGCAGTAGCACAGGTGGCAAATTCCAGTGGTGACAAACATGGGATACACAAACCCATAAGCATGTGAAAACACATATTAATCATACATTTCAGCTGTAAAATCTTAGGGGTAACAGCAACACATCCAGAGTTTTCAGATGTAACTTTCAGGCTGATAATTTAGTCCTTTATTGAGCAACATTTTTAAATCTATTGTGACACACAATGAACAAGCAAAGTGAACGAGCCCCTGAACAAAATGAAGAGATAATCTTTGTTTCCGGAGTTAACTTTTCCAGTATAATCTTTACGGCCAGCAGTGATTACATCAGATGTATTTACATTGTATCTGCGCAAGAGGATGCTTACGGATATGACATATGCTGCTCTGCACCGTTAAAACCTGAGGACTAGATTCTCTCACTACGATGTGCGTCTCTGTTGATTTCAGAAATATGCAATACTGCAGTAATGAGAATGGTATAAGAATCTAAATAGATCCATAGACATATGGACAGACAGATGGATTAAGGCAGACTTTGTCACTTTGTCCCTAAAATCTTTTGTGATACTTATCTCTTGTGTACACAGTGACACTAAGGTGTCAGCCCAGATAATTTCCCTTAATTTAGTAATATTTTATTGATTTACATAAAGTTTTTACTTGAAAACATGGAGGAGTGTGTATGCACATTTTGCAGAAATGTACTGGTACTAGTAATATAAACCATTTTCATTCTATTTTGAAAAACATTGTGAAGGTATAAATTATGTTTGAACTGGACAGAGATGATGATGTGGCATGTGACTGAAAATATATATTTTTTAATAGATGATTCAGCCGCAGAGAGTTTTAATGGCAATGAGACCGTGGGACACAGTTCCAATGCTTCAGGGGGAACACACTGCAGGGAGATGGCAGAAACCAACAGTAATGGCAAAACAAATCTGGAGCAGGATGAGCAGCCTCTGAACCTGAGTGACAGTCCCCTCTCTGCTCAGCTGACTTCAGAATACAGACTAGATGATCACAGCAGTAATGGAAAGAACAAATACAAGACTCTCCTAATTTCTGATCTCAAGATGGAACGGGAGGCAAGAGAAAATGGAAGCAAGGTAAGATGCTTCCACATGCTCCAGATATGAAGTGTGTAGCTTAGAAAAGGAAAAGCTTTGTGAGGCCAAACCAAGGGTTATTCCCAGCTAAGCACTTAATGCAATGTGTCTAATGTTTGTCACATCATTACTCAAATGCTATACATAGATTTGTATGCTCTGTTACACATATATGATGCATACGTACATTAAGTGTATGTGGATGTACATGGGTGAATACATATATATAGGCATAATATTGTGCTGACACACTGACAAAAACCAGTGCACTTCTCCACCAGGCATGAATTTTATCAGTCCATTTATTGAGAACTGTCTACATTATCCATTTGAAAAATATATATATATTAAACTATGTATATAATGTAATACATATATATATGTATATATACTGAGATACATATATCTATGTATATTTATAGATGACCATCTCATTACATGTATTACGTATCTGTAGAATGAATCCATGTGAATGTTAAGTGCGTATGCCCAAGCGAATTACTACATGTGAATTATCAACATCTGAAAGGAACCGATTTAGTTCCTTCCTGATTGTTTGTGTTATGCAGGCACCTAACCTGAATTAAAACTGACAAGTTTGCTTTAAGAAGCTGTAATCCCTTGAGGGCTTTTCTCTGTAGTTTCCATTATGTGGGTACAGAGAAGCAAGGGCAGTTATATTGTAGATAAAGACAGGTCCTATAGACTAGGTAGCTAGCTTTCTAGGAAGGTGTTTGTCATGAGGGCATACTGTAGGGAGGGTGAAGAAATGGCCTGTATCACAGAATTTACCTATTGACCTTATTGGTGACAAGTTCTTGTTTTTTATCTGATAACTCCCAACTGGATTAACACTTTTACAGCAGCAATAATAGGATGTCAGTATTAGATCCAAATACTATTAATGCTAGTTACTAGCTTTCAGTAGCCCACTACAAAATAACCTGACAATATATATATACTTTGAATGATCACATTTTTTGCAGGGCTTTGAAATAGGAGTGATACAGAAAATCACTTTTTCTAGGTATATCCAGAAGGAGGCTGTACATGACTGATGTCTAGAGAACATTTATTTATGCTAAAGTTTTAACTCCTGTCTTCATTGCTTGTGGAGTAAAAATAAAAACTTGGAATGTTTTTTTAACTCAAGTGTCTGGTTTTGGTGGGTAGAAGAAAGGCTGGCCAAATGGGAGATTGTTAGTCTTTGTCTTTCTTGGCCTTCCAGTTTAGCAAATCATGTATCCCAAAACCTTCTCCATAAAATCTTTATGAAAACCTGTTTATCTGCATGGGATATTTTTGTTTCCACAAATTTTTATTTTATTGATAATGTTCTGAATAGATCTAGTCTCAAAGTGCGTATACACTCCAGTGGTGGATTTACTCAGTACTTTGTTGCACAGTGAATCCCAAATTGGCTAATATGAACAGTATCTTCATTTGCTTCAGGGCACATTTTTCCAATGAACATTTTATAAGCCAGCCACCCAAATATTGATAGACACACAGGCTCTTTCGCCTGAGGTACACTGTTTCTGCCATTACTCTTGCAAATACACAAATAAGCTTGGTGAAGAAAGGGAGGAGTCTTAATGTGGAACTCCTTTATAGCCAAGACAAGAACATAGTCTAATGTCACATTTCCGGTTTTAATCAGTTCCAACTCAGATGCAAAAAAAAAGGTATCAAGAAGTGTTAAAAATCTGCTTGTAACGAATTGAGATGGCAATCAAAGCCATCTCATCTTTGTTATTCTACAAATTTTAAGAGGCCTGAATCATCCCCCACATTGATATAGTCTTTCATCACTCACTGTCATCCTACCCACTCTATACTGCCAACAATATGCAGATTTGTCTCCCCTTTTTGTCCTAGTGAAATTCATATTGATGTTTACAGTTCATTTAAGTATATGATTCATTAGGTATGCAGCAAAGATTATTAAATATGGAGTGAAGACTTCAGGAAGAGCACACTCCTGGGATAAACAAAAATTTGTCAAGAGATTTGTAAGCTGAGAGTACAGTAAAGGAATACTTTTGCAGCCCATTTTATATTTTACAGATGAATTCTACTCTTACTTTTTAAATTTAAAAAAAAGTTATAGAATATTTTTAGAAGGAACAAACCCAATGTATTGGAATAGAATGGGACTGTACAACATCTCAGTGTTTCATATGCGTACATATACATTCATATAAATCATTACTACTCTTTTACCTTAAGCAGTAACATACAGGCTAAAGAGTCAGAGAATGTTTTACAAGCCCTAGACCTATTCAAGAAGATCCTCTTGCCTCCTCCTGGTGAGTCAGATTACTGGGCCCCTCCAGAAGAGTGTTCTGGCCTTTACTGAGCTGATTAATCTTGAACAATGCAGAAGATCAAACTCCTAGTTGTGTGCAGTATTTGCTGGATGCACTTGGGCAAGGGTATCACAAGGAATAGCCAGAACTCTAATTCTCTGCCAGGAAGGAAACAAAATAACGAACAAGTAAGGTTAACAGAGTACTATAGTTTACCAGGAGCCACATCTCACATATCCTTTTTACCCAGAATACACCAAATATGTGCATAGTTTTTTGAAGTCATCTAGGAACTCTCCCAGTGCTCTCTCAGCATCTAACCTCCTGCCATTCACAGTTATAGAGTTATCAGACACCATTAGACCTGAATAATGGCATCACTGGTAGTGATGGGTAAGCAAATGTGTTTAGCGTAACCTGTAACCATTTCTTTCATGAGAAAAATAATCTGCAGTGTTCACCAAATATCAGATTGATATGCCACTTCTTATAATGTAGTATTCTTGCAGTATCTTTATGTGGCAAAGAACTAAGAAAAGTTATGTGAGAAGCTAGTGAAGAAAATATCTGGTTTCTAAATGAAGGGAAATATATTTTAATTATTGGATTAGCATTGCAGGAAGTAATACATTATGCTTCCTCCAGCTTCTACAATGGCCCATTCAGCCTGCAGAAGATGTTACTTGCTTGAGATGGCCAGGACTCTCTGAAACCCAGAGGCAAAGGGCTGGAGCTGGGAAGATCTGCTCTAAGTCTCCCTTTTAGATACTGCATCATATATGTTTTGTTAAGTTTGAAGCCATGTTTTCTCTGGTCAACTTGTATCCATTCTGACCTGTCACTAGGTTTAAAGATAACACATCAGAGCTGAATCTAGCCACAAAAAGCCAAAACATTACTGATGTTTTAAGGGAGTTAGTTTGTTTTTTCTGGAAGCAAGCACTTTTGTTAAACTATATTATAGGTATTTGCCTGTATAACACTGTTTACAAGAATGATACTTCCTTCACATGTGTAGTGGTGGGCCCCACCATTTGATGATACAGTTCTGATGATTGATGATTTTGTACATGCTGCAGAAATATGAAGAAGCAGCTGAGATAAAAATGGTAGTTTTTCCATAATATTTTCTTTGTAAATATGACAGCTAATAGGCAAATGTTTTTTGAAAATGGTTACTTCTTTGTGGAAGTTCAATTTTTATAATATCCATCTTGTCCATACCTATCTGAACCAATTATATGCTTATGCTATATGTAAAGTTTGCTAGATAGTGGTGTCATTCTGGGAAAGAGTCTTGGATGTCAAAACAGGGATACTTAACATTTCCCTAAATTCAGGCCTTTCTAACGTACACAGAGGAAGTCATCAGTGATTTGTAAGAAATGTAGTTTTTTGGGAAGAATAAATCGAGTTTTCTTGTCTGAAAAGACTGATGAATAACTGAAGATTAGATAACCCTGTGAACAAATTTTAATTCAATTTTTCAAACTACTAGGGTATATTATGTAAAGAATGCTCTGTTCAGTCACTTCAGAATATGACTTTTAAAACTGATGTTGATAATACTCTTTAAACAAGAATGACGTTTCAGTGGACAGTGTAACTTTACTCTTTGAATCTTCAGTTTCAGGCAGTGAGTATGTGTGGTAACCTGTTCTCCCTGTAAAAAGACCACATGCTGAGTGTGGTGGAGGGACTTGCCAAATTGTAACATAACCTTAAAATCTGGTCCAAAATGTTTTAGCGCTCACTGAAAAAGTGTTATGCAAGGAAGAAATGGGTTTTCATAGTCTTAAATACATATATGTAAGTATGTATGTCTATATGTGTATGTGTATATATATACTTTATGCTTAAGCTGATATTAGGGAACTGATCCTCCAGTAAGACTCAGATGTTCATGCAGTAGAACTCTCTATAGCCATTTAGGGCTAAACTGAAGTCAGTGAAACTTTGAATAGCTGCAAAAATGTATACATAAATTTACCTTAACAGGGCTGGGTCTTTGTACTACAAAAGGCTTATAAAGTACTCACCTGTAAATGCTCTGCAAATGCAGTTCTTTGAAACCAAATAGTTAAGTGCACATATAAATTATTTTAGATCATTATATACTTATGTGTGAGACTGCTGCGTTTCTGTATGACCATGGTGAAGTCTCTGTAACACTGAGATTTTTGATTTCTCATTCTTGTGTTATTGCTTTTTCCTAGACCATATATTTTATTTTGAAAACTTATTTTATAGCTTTATCTCTTCCACATAGTTTATTTCATGAAATATAGAAAGCCCATTCCTTTTAACTTATTTTGTCTTTTCTGCATTTGGATAACAAGGTTATTGTGATGTGGTATGGGAAAACAGGTTTTTGAGCTAACCAGCCATACTTATGTTGTGCCATGTATTTTACCTGGATTAATAAATAGTTCATTATGTCTGTATTGCAAAGGACGTTCCTAATATGCAAAACTTCTCCTTGGGCTATCCCAGATAGAAACATGTACTACTGATCACGAATGCCTAGGAGATGCATTAAAGTGAGGTGACAAGGAGGGTGCACACCATGTGTCCATTTTGTCCAGATACCTACTAAATGTGGACAGTTGGTTAATGTCTTCTTTCCTTCTACCAGACGAAATTTCTGATAGAAAAATTGGACACCTCCATGCCCTCTGGTTGTATGGTAAG